CTTGAGTTATAAATAGTGTAACTAACACGACTTTCTTTTATATATATAGATTAGATGGGCTGACGTTTTCCTATCTCGTCTGATGGTAAGCGATGACACGGTCTACGATGGAGCACGTCGTCCCATAAGCAACCTATTCACTCGGGCCTTTAAGTCACCCAGGTTTATACCCTTCAAGAAATACAGACTGGCAAACAATTCCACTCCTTAGCAGTACGCACAAGGAAGCTTGATGCGAAGCGCTTCGTGCGTGTGGGTGGGACATCTACCATGAACTTTATCGTGACAGTACTAAACTTAAGCGCGATTTAAAACTTGAGTGGCGTTTGAGTATTCAGCAGCTGTAGCCAAATACCATTTAGCGCTTGTCTACATGTAGAATAGAAAACCAAATTATAAGGAATTGACGTACATTTCGACACTTGTCAGTGTCATCCCCATACATTTAGTTTTCTACTCTCTCTGTAGACAAGCGCTAAAGTGGCGTTTGGCTAAAGGCTCTGGTATGAGTACGGCAGTGAGCCAGTATCGATAACCTATCTATTTCTAGATGGGCTTAGTAGATATATAATTTTAATACGTTTTAGATGGAGCATATATTAAAATTGTATATCTAGAAAGCGATTAGACAAATTGGCTAATGAACACACGTAGTCGAGTATGTATATCAAAACACATACTTATATCAGTCCAAATATTTTATATAGTCATTTCCTATATGTCATAATTCCATATACAAACGATTAACAATCGTTTTGTCAATTTGTATCACGCCTTTTATGTCCAAGGGGGTAGACAGAGGTGCACATATGCAATGTCACAGTTATATTACGAGTCCCATGTAATAAGGGACAATATTTTCATCTTTTAATTCTTCAGTTACCATTGACTGACTGACTGACTGACAACAGCTGTAGCTAATCATGTTACTTAATCGAAAAACTGCTATTTATGATAACGGAAAGAAATCTGTTCGAAATCGTTTGATTTTTTCATTAAAATGAGCCTTTTTTAAACTGTCAAACACCGCGAGGACACCGGTGACCGCAACCTATTGTTCTTTAATTGTCTATAATGACGGTACTCAAAGGGTTAATATAGACTCTAACATAACATAACATAACATCACGCCTTTTATCCCCGAAGGGGTAGGCAGAGGTGCACATTATGCTCCTGTACAATGTAACACCCACTTTTCACTATTTATGTTATGAGTCCCATGTAATAGGGGGTGAGCCTATTGCCATATTATGTATTATTTTATTATGTCGTATAATAAAACAATACTTAGATAAAACGAATCAAACTTTAGCAGTGGGGGCTAAAACGTCATTTCTACGTATAAAATGTACATAGAAGTGACGTCAGGCGACATTTCAAATCAATATATCGTCGAAACTATTCGTTTCTGTAAGAAAATAAGAAATACGTGTGTAATGATTTAAAATAATTTACCAGACGGACATTGAAATAAAAATTAGGCATCTACCCTATACCCAAGTCACCGGTCACCGCTCTCCACTCAATTATAGACTTTATTACCGATGCTTAGAGACTACTTTAGTGTGAACAAATTTTGGAGATTTTCGGAAACAATATATCAACGTATTATATAATGAAATGATTGAGTACGGTGGTCAAAAACCTAATATTAACTCTTTTGTCGGAATACTGAAACGCTACTCAATTTTAAGTCGCGCTTAAGTATAGTTCTATCTCTACAAATTCTTTGTAAAATGACAGAGATGGCGCGATATTTGAGCACGACTTAAAATTGAGTAACTTTTCAGTACTCCGGCATTTAAGTACCGTCATTATAGACACAATAGGCGTGTCGACAGGGTAAAAAAATCAAAAAAGCAATTAGTCCGTCATTAAGAACGCACGAAAATATCAGTCACGTATTTTTTGTTTTATCAAATTAACAGAAGAATACGTAGTTATTCCGCATTAAAGTTAGGGAGTGGGGGGTGTTGACGTCACACTTACGGAGAAATCGTACCTAATTGTGACGTCACGCGTCATTTTAACTCAAAATATCTACATGTTTTTTTGGATATGAGAAAAAACTACGTATCGAAGATTTTTAAAATATCTAAAAGACGGACAAAAAATAAAAAAATAGTCGCCATGACAATTAAAGAACAATAGGTTGCGGTCACCGGTGTCCTCGCGGTGTTTGACAGTTTAATTAGTTATATACAACTCCAACGCCTACATAACCTGCGGCTGTAGCCAAATACCATTTAGCGCTTGTCTACATGTAGAATAGAAAACCAAATTATATGAAATTGACGTAAATTTTGACACATTTTGATTGCTACTCTCTCTGTAGATAAGGGCTAAAGTGGCGTTTGGCTAAAGGCCCAAGTAACATTAAATTTTCAAAAGGGGCGTGGCTTATTACTTATGATTTTGTCTTAACGCTGCAGCGATGTCTCTAACATCGAGTTGGACTTTCGGCTTGTGTTGCGGCGGCTCGAAGTAGAAGTCGAAACGTTTGAAAGATTCGATTTCCCGTTCGGACACTTCAAGTGAAGATAGATTTGTAATGCTGGAGTCGGGGAGGAATACGCTGGATTCTGGAATATAAGAAACATATTTTTAGGAGAAAAGCATTTATTTGACTGTAGGCACACAGATACAAAAATTATAAAAAACAAATAAAAAAAATACAGATACAGTAAAATGGGTGAATAGGGATCCAGAGATGAATAGAGATAGAAGAGGGGTGAATCGATACTATGAAGAATTTCCCATTATTCATCCCTCTTTTGTCTCTATTCACCTCTCGATCCATATTCACCCCATTTTACGGTACGTATATCATACAAAGTAATAATAAAGTAAATAAAGAGTGGCCGCAAGTGCGACTGCCGGGCAAAGGGTCTCGGGTTCGATTCCCGGGTCAGGCAAAGTATTACTGGGTTTTTTTAAATAATTCTCAGTAGTAGCACGGAGCCTGGAACTGTGCCCGGTATAGGGCGATAGGCTCACCCCCTATTACATGGGACTCATAACATAAATAGTGAAAAGTGGGTGTTACATTAACACCAAGTTTCGATTCGTTACCCAATTTTCACTATTTATGTAATAAGTCCCATGTAATAGAGGGTGAGCCTATTGCTATATACCGGGCACAATTCCAGACTCCGTGCTACTACTGAGACTTTATTTAGTTAATATTCTAATGCAACAATAAGTACATTAGTTACATACCCGGATGCGCATGTCTAGCCCCTATAGGGCCGAACCGTCGGTCATCGGCGGGTGGGGTGGTGGACCCCGCCCCGGGGGGCAGCGGGCCGACCCCGCCGACCCCACCGACCCCGCCGCCCCCACTGCTGGTGGACTGTACAGACGACCCCGTAGGAGAACTTCGGGCTGATTGCGCACCTGTAACAATATGTCATACATTTTTATATGATTTTTTCAAAAGAATCATCAAGTGGGAACCTGGACTGATAATTTCTAATTATAAGTTTGTAATCGCATTGAGCAAGCGTGGTGATTAATGCTCAAACCTCCGTGTGAGAAGAGACCTATTTTTTTAAACGTTTTCTCACACTAGTATTTTCTCCTGTGTTGTGGGTGCGTTTACAAACATACAAGTTCACATACACACGACACCCAGACCCGGAACAACAATTTGTGGATCACATAAAGAGTTGCTCCGTGCGGGAATCGAACCCGCGACACGTTGCATGGCAGCCAATTGCCCAGCCACCGCAATAACCGTGTTGTCAAATATCTCCTAATAATCCTATGTGTAGCCGTGAGACTAGACGACCATGACCGTATAATATTATGGTGCCATCGAGCTGGTCTGATGATGGGACCTTACTGTCTAGTAGTAAACATATCGAGTTTGGGCTCATTATATAATCCGTCCATTTCTATTTATGACTAGCTTCTGCCCGCGACTGCCCTTTTTCTCCCGTTTTCGTAGGATTTTTAGGAGTTTTTCTGTCTTAAGAACCTTCTACTAATAATAACAAATATAACAAAAAAAAAATCAGTCAAATCGATCTAGGCGTTCACATGTGTAACCTGCGATTTTTAGTTAATTTATAACGTAACGCCTTGGTGTTTCAAGTAGCTCCATGGGCGACGCCGATTGCTTACCATCAGAGTGCCAAGCACGAATAACTATCGCATTCGTAACGTAATAGTATCGAGCGCGTTCGGCGCTCTGATTGGCCGGCTCAAGTGAACCAACCAATCAAAACGCTTAACTCGCTCGATACTGTTACGATACAAATGCGATAGTTATTCGTGCTTGGCACTCAGGTGATCCGTCAGCTCGTTTACCGACTCATACCATATCTCTTTTTTCAAATTGTAAAATATTGGGGTTTTTTTTTAAGCGGGGAAAATCATCGAATGACTGCTTTCGTCTTTGTGTCCGACTCTTACTGACTAAAAACCACCCCGTTCCTTCTCCTGCACTTCGAGCCGGAGCCCCGGTTACCCGTTAGTTAGGTTCTCCACGACTCCGCATCGGCATCAGCCCTATTGGGCCCCATACGTGGTGGTCAGATGGCTCTATGAGGCGCGCGCGGTACTGAGTGTCTAAGACTATAATCTATCTGTGTACTAAATTTCATTCAGATCAATCCAGTAGTTTCTTCGTGAAACAGTAACCAATCAGTAATTATTTGAGTTATTTCACCTACTAGCTTTTACCCGCGGCTTCGCTCGCGTCACAAAAGGATAAAAAGTAGCCTGTGTGACATATACCAATACACACAGCGCCATCTATACCAATAATTTCTGTTTTCCTCGAGAATATAAAATTTTTCCGGGATAAAAAGTACCCTATTATTTAATCCGGACTTCTAACTTTACGTCTGCAAAAATTCAAAGCAATCGGTTTAGTAGTTACGGCGTGAAAGCGGAACAAACAAACAAACAAACAAACTCACTTTCCGACTTATAATATTAGTAAGGATTTATAAATTTTGATTCCTCCGAAATTGTTCGGGATAGCTTAGTCGAAATTAGTTGAAAATTAAAGTATGTACATAACATAACGCCTTATCCCCGAAGGGGTTATTGGGTATACGGGGGTATTGTGTATACGTACCAGGTTTGTGTGTAGTATAGAGTTGGTCCGGCCAGGCGTGTGTCGGTCTACTGAACAACGACTCCTCGCCCACTCCACACTCTAGCGGGTGACCGGGCTCCTGCAAGATTGAATACATTGTTATAAATATTGTTTTACGAGACAATCATTGGTGCTAATCCTAGAAGTGATACATTCAAAAATCAATTATAATTATTATTATCATTCTTTTTAAAACGTGGCTGATGTCGATACGGAGTCGCGGAGAACTTTAGGGGTATCCGGGGCTCCGGCTCGACGTGCAGGAGAAGGAACGGGGTGGTTTTTAGTCAGTAAGAGTCTGACACTCCCTCCCGCCTCACCCAAGCATTCGATGATTTTAAAAACAAACACCTAGTGTGTCCTGTGTGCGTTTACAAACATATAAGTTACTACAATCTGTGGGTCACACAAAGAGTTGCTCCGTTCGAGAATCGAATCCACAACACGTTGCACGGCAATATTTTTTTTATTTATTTTTTTATTTAAACGTTGCCCCACACTAGGATTTTCTCCTGTGTCGTGTGTGCGTTTACAAACATACAAGTTCACATACACAATGACACCCAGAGCCGAAACAACAATTTGTGGATCACACAAAGTGTTGTCCCGTGCGGGAATCGAACCCGCGACACGTTGCACGGCAGCCGGTTGCCCAGCCACCGCACCAACCGTGAATTAAAACAACCTGGGTTCGAAATTCAACCAAAAAAATGGCATTCAATTCAATTTAAACAAATAACACGAATAGAACATCAAAGAATTGTTTTGCATGGGATTTGAACCCACAGTACACCATAAGTGTGCCACGTGTGGGAGAGCCATGCTTCGGCACGAATGAGCCGGCTCGACCGGAGTAATACCACGGCCTCACAGAAAACCGACGTGAAGCAACGCTTGCGTTGTGTTTCGTCGCGTGAGTGAGGTTACCGGAGGCACAATTACCCTCCCCTTCCCCAATCTCCTCAATCCCTGAATCCCTAACGATCCTCAAACTCCTAATCCCCAAAAAGCCGGTAACGCACTTGTAACGCCTCTGGTGTTCCATGTGTCCATGGGCGACGCCGATTGCTTACCATCAGGTGATCCGTCTGCTCGTTTAACGGCTTATTCCATAAAAAAAAAACGTCAATCTCCCATCACGATAAACACAGTCAACACAAAATTACAAAAACCTCTCCGGGCGGGAATCGAACCCACACCATATCAACACACAGCAAAAAATGGAACATCTTACCTGCGTCTTATAGAATTTCGACTCAGTAACATGATGAATAGACACTTCATTGTTTAATTTCGACCCAACCCTTAGCCTTTGAAAATATGGCAACGTATCGCCATTAGCTACATTTTTTAACCCTAAATCGTCATTTTTGTCACTGAAGAGCGCATTTCTAAACACATTGCGGTCTTCTTGACCGAACGGTGTGTATAATCCAGTGTATTGTTGATCTTCCTGCTTCATCGGAGTCCCTATAGGCTCCGGTCTTTGAATGGGGTTAGCGAACAGAGATATGTCGGATTCAAATCCCCGGTTAGGCTCCGGTCGGGTTCCTATAGGGTTAGGGGACACCACAGACTTGGGGCTCTGGTTCTCAAAGTACTCCGGAGTTAGGAAATTCCTTTGTTGCTGGTCATCTGGGGTCTTAAATAGGGAGTACCCTTCATCGTTCTTCTGTGTGAAAGACGCCAAATTCATGATTCTGGTTTGGAAGTCATCTGATTTAGGTGACGCTCGTGGCGGGTCGATGTATTGGGAATTGTTATTCTGTATGGGATTGTAGTTATTTGGGTTCACGTAGTTATATTGTTGCGGGTACATTGGGTTGAGCTGGGGACTTTGAGCCCTAACGCCCATGAGGCTCTGTTGATGCATCATTGTCATTAGGGGGTTCCTTATTGTGAACATTCCATTTGACGTAGGTGTTATAGTCGCTTGGCAAGCATTCGGTGGCATAGGTATCGGGTCTGGGACTCGAATCTGCTCCTGTTTCTTCGCTGGTTGATTGGTTATTTGGACTGGTGGTAAATTCGGATGGAACATTGGATTTCGCAAGGTGACGATCTTGGTCCCATCTTGTTTTTCCTCGGCGGCCGCGGCAGCCTTTTTGGCTTTCTTCTTGGCCTTCTTCGATTTGCCCGGCACTGGAGGCGGGTCCGCTATGATTACTGGCTTTGGTGGTTCTGTAGAGAAGAAGTATAAATTAGTTAATTGTGGATGAATATTAAGATGACTACTTCTTTATAGAGACAATTGTGTACTTGCCAACTAGTCAAATTCAATACTTTTTTCGAACTGTCAAAAACGACAGTTTTCTATGAATTTTGTACGAGATTGTGTATTGTGACGTCGCGTTTTTTTACCGTAAAACAGCGTACTTATTTCTTAAAAATTATCTAGAAAAATACTAAAATTAAGTTGGTCATAAAATCAATTAATGAAAGTGTAATTATTTTTTAATACTTTATGAAGAGTCGGAATAATTTATATTCGATTAAGGCAAGTACACATTGATTCGATTTCATACGAAAGTGTATTATTTCATTCTTTAAAAAGGTACTTTGCACGGAATGACACAAGTTCATATTTCAAGTATTAAATGTGTTTAGGAGACCAAATAATGTTAAAACTAAACATGCTTCTTAATCCTCGTGCATAGAACTTGTAAGCAGTAATTTACATAACATAACATCACGCCTTTTATCCTCTAAGGGTTAGGCAGAGGTGCACATTACGGCACTTAATGCTACTGTGGTGTTAGTATTTTCTACTCCAAGTTAACCCTTTGAGTACCGTCATTATAGACACAATTAAAGAACAATAGGTTGCGGTCACCGGTGTCCTCGCGGTGTTTGACATTTTAAATAACATTACGGCTTCTATATCTCACCTGGATGAGCAGTGCTGAACATAACATTGGCAGGGTCAGCGTTGATGATAGGCGCCGGCCTGGCTACTGGCGTCGGCGCGGCAGGGAGCTGACCTGCTTTCCATAGAGGCTGGAAATATAATAATATTTTGTTAATAAAACAGTAAAAAATCTTATACCTAGGGTGGATTTTTTCAACGTCAGAAATATTTTAACATTAACATATTAATATTTTAACTGAGAAATAACTTTGAATCACTATATAGTATAAAACAAAGTCGCTATCCGCCGTCTGTCTGTCCCTATGTATGATCATAGATCTATAAAACTACGCAACGGATTTTGATACGGTTTTTTTAATAGATAGAGTTATTATTAAGGAAAATTTATATGTATAATAGTTTCCTTATGGCATCGAGCATTTCTTTCTTTATTGAAACAAAGAGTTTCCTTTTTCTTGTATAGAAGCACTATTTTTACGGATTGTCAGTATTTTAGTAAGTTATTAGTATAATTTTATTTTATTTTTATTTTATTGATTTGGCTCACCAACAATTGATTACACTTATACAATATAGGGTTACATTTACGAAAACTTAAATACTAGTGCATCAATCTATTATAGGTAAGCACAACATGCATAATGCGTCAAGCGTGTCTTTGCATTGTTCTTACATACGCGTACAGTATTGAAATACCTATGTATCAGAGACATTGTAGAACATACTTTTTGAAAAGACGTAACGAATGGAGTTTCTTGCTCGTTCTTCTTCATTCGAATCTACTTTTTGAAATGAGCACCTAGCTTCACCTAGTTTCACTGACGGACTGAGTGACAGACTATTATTTATTTTGTATTTGTTGACGTTTCCAAAGTACCAAACTATGGTTTAATTGTAATAAATGCTTTGACTTTGACTTTTCTCAGTATATTCACGTGAGTAACCCGCGATTTTTAGTTAATTCAGTATGTCTCACGATAGTTATTAAAAAAAAATATCTCTTTAAGACCTTATCTTTGCACTTACCACAGATTTGATGGGCGGTGGTTCCTTCTTGTCCGAGGGTTGTACTCTCGTCAGGGTTATACCTGGAGGCAGCTTTAGATCTGCAACCTGTATAAAAATTAAAAAAACATCGTGAGGAAACCTGAGCTTATAATGTCTAATTATAAGTTTGAAATCGTTTATTTAATACTGGGTTTTTAAAAAATTCTCAGTATTAGCACGGAGTCTGGAATTGTGCCCGGTATATAGCAATAGGACTCATAACACAAATAGTAAACAGTGGGTGTTACATTGTACAATGCTCTAATGTACACCTCTGGCCACCCCTTAGGGGATAAAAGGCGTGATGTTATGTTATGTAAGTTTCAAATCGCCAACCGGCATTGAGCAAGCGTCGTGGCGTCATGCTCAAACCTTCTCCATGTGAGAACAGGCTTTGCTCAGCAGTGGGCATTTATAGGCTGTTGATGATGACGATCATAATGAAAACACATCATACCTGTACGCCACAGCTGAGTTGTTCCATGATGCTGCATGAGGCTGGCTTCTCCAACTCATTGCTGCACTGGTTCTGGAAGTAAAATAAAAATATATTATGAACTATTCGAGATTGAAATGAAAGAAGGAAAAACTATTTATTACGATACGGCTCGACCGGAGTGATATCACGGCCTCACAGAAAACCGACGTGAAGCAACGCTTGCTTTGTGTTTCGTCGTGTGAGTGAGGTTACCGTTGGCACAATTACCCTCCCCTTCCCCAATCTTCCCAATTCCTGAATCCGAAACGATCCTCAAACTCCTTATCCCCAAAAGGCCGGTAACGCACTTGTAACGCCTCTGGTGTTCCAAGTGTCCATGGGCGACGCCGATTGCTTACCACCAGGTGATGCGATTGCTCGTTTACTGGCTTATACCAAAAAAAAGAGACATACATACAAACACACACGAAATCTGTTATCCTCTTGTCTGTTGTTGCGGGTATAATGTGTTTTATACCGGGAGCCGGTGTTTCAACAGATATAAGGTTATTTGATTTCGGCCAAAAGCTACTAGATACAAACTAAGTATTGTTCCGTACAAGGATGTTGAACAAATTGGCGGACGCAATGCCATTTAGAAATGATTGTAGTACCAAAATGTCAGAGGTGTATTATAACATATCATGACATCACGCCTTTTATCCCCGAAGGGGTAGGCAGAGGTGTATATTATGGCACTTAATGCCACTGTACAATGTAACACCTACTTTTCACTATATAATTGTGCCTCCGGTATCATACACCTTTTGCGTGGTGTGTTACCGACCTTTTGGGAATTGAGAATTTAAGGATTGAGAAGACTGGGTAGGGAGATAATTGGGCCTCCAGTAACCTCACTCACACGACAAAAACAAAACACAAGTAATATTTCTTTTGTTTCTATATTTAAATAATTTTCTTGCTGTGTGCCTGTTTTTGGTGTATTTATAATTTTTATTTTGTCTTAGCTGTTACCTATTAAGTCAGTATTCGTGTGAATCTATAAGTGGCTCAATGTTACTATTCTTCTGCTAAATGTATGTAATGTAGCTGTTGATTCACCATTCAATAAATAAATAAATATTTCACTATGGTTTTCTGGTCGTTGGCGGTATCACTCCGGTCGAGCCGGCCCAGCAGTGCCGGAAAATAACTCTCCTACACTTAAAACCCTAAAAATATCATCATATCCTTACCTTCTTGTTAACAACTTCAATAGTAGTATCCGGCGTGATATTAATGACTTGCGACTTCTGTTGCTGTAGTTGCTGCAACTGTTGTTGTTGCTGCAACTGTTGCTGTTGTTGTTGCTGTTGTTGCTTCTTGTTCTCTTTCTTAGTTGTCGCTTGTTGTTGCTGTTGTACTGGTTGCTTTGTCTTTGGTTGTGGTTGGGGCGCTGTAAAGAGATATGCGGTTCGAGTTATCGCGTACCGGTTTTATAGACACAATTAAAGAACAATAGGTCGCGGTCACCGGTGTCCTCGCGGTGTTTGACAGTTTAAGTATTGTCAAAGTCGAAAGCAATCTTAACCATTTTTTTTTTATATTTGATGGTGCGACGTTTGCTCACTATCTCGATGGTAGTAAGCGATGACGCGGTCTACGATGGAGCACGTCGTCCCATAAGCAATCTATTCACTCGGACCTTGAAGACACCCAGGTTATACCCTTCAGGAAATACAGACTCTGGCAAACAATTCCACTCCTTAGCAGTACGCACAAGGAAGCTTGAAATAACAGTACTTTTGAGGGGAGAAAATCATCTAATGAATTTTTAGGGAACAGAGAGTATAGTTCCCTAAGATCGGAAAAGGAGGATCCTCCGACCAGGAGAGGTGAGCGTGCCTGGCGGGCTTTCTGCCCCACAGTTGTTCGTTGAGATTGTCTACTCGTGTTAATTCGCTTGTGCGATGTAGGATTTTATGACGTCATCCGTTGACTTGTGACATGTGTCGCCACAACTCACCGGGGGGGGGGGGGGGGCCCGGTGAGTCGGGAGGGAGTGTCAGTCTCTTACTGACTAAACCAGAGCCAGAGCCGCGGTAACCCCCTAGGCTGGCTACAGCTTCGGGGAAAAGGACAACATAACATTTCACGCCTTTTATCCCCGAAGGGTTAGGCAGAGATGCGCATTACGGCACTTAATGCCACTGTACAATGTAACAACAACTTTTCACTATTTATGTTACGAGTCCTATGTAATAGGGGGTGAGCCTATTGCCATATACCGGGCACAGTTCCAGACTCCGTGCTACTACTGAGAATATTTAAAAACCCAGTAATACTTTGCCCGGCCCGGGAATCGAACCCGAGACCCCTTGCCCGGCAGTCGCACTTGCGACCACTCGGCCAACTAGGCAGTCGCTATAATAAACATAATAAGTATAAAAAAAGACTATAATAATCGTACTAACCTTTCTCCTGTTTATTCTCCTTTCCTTTCTTCTCATTCTTTTCAGCTTTCTCATTCTTCTTCTCTTCTTTTTTCTCCTTCTTAGTTTCCGCCTTTTTCTCTGCCTTAGTCTTAGCGGGTTCGGGTTTCGGTGGGTCGGGTTTCTTCGCTTCTGCGGTCTTTTTGGTTTTTGATTCTTGCTGCTGTTGTTTTTTCTTTTCTTCTTCTTCCGCCTAGATAGAGAAGAATTGTTATTTAAGACTTTGACTGCCAATAAAAAACTGTTGAAGGTAAATCCTCCGCTAACGCGCGTCACCGGTGACCCCCATGGCGTTTAACGTGTTAAACTTGGTTAAGTCTATATTCTATAGTTATATTACCACTTTCGTGAGACATACTAAATTAATTATTATGTTTTTGGCTTACTCAAGTTATAATTTGACGAGGAACTCGACTAGTTTCAAGCCATGCTAGACGCTCATATTCATGAGCAGCGTTTCGCGACATGCGACGCGGCGACTGTCGCGCTGATACTACAGTACATACGGCTTGAAACTAGTCGAATTCCTCGTCAAATAATTACGCTAGTAAGTCGAAAACATAATAATTAGTAAATTATGATAAGTAAGAATACTTATCATATCTATAGTGTCGTGGTGGCCCAGAGGTTTAAGACGCCCGCTTCTCATGCATGAGGGTGCGGGCTCGAAACCTACCAACGGCAAGTACCAATTTCACTGTTTCCCGAGTTATATGTACTTTCTAAGATTATTGAGACACCACTGACAAACGATGAAGGAAAACATCGTGAGACTTATAATTTCTAATTATAAGTTTGCAATCGCCAACCCGCACTGAGCGAGCGTGGTGATTAATGCTCAATCCTTCTCCGTGTGAGAAGAGGCTTTGCTCAGCAGTGGGCATTTATAGTCTGTTGATGATGATGATTATGATGGTTTATTCCACTTTGTTCACCTGGGTGATTTCACCTAGGTGAACAAAGTAGACTTTTTGGAGTCCTCAATTTTTAAGCTTCCGTCGCGTGTGCAGCCTTATTGGTTAAATCTACATAGAAATCTTTTCCCGTTTTACTGTATGCATTTTTGGCATTACTTAGTAGCAATCACCCCCTGATAATTATTTTGGCAATATATTTCGTGTACAGAATTGACCTCTCTACAGATTTATAACAAGTATAGATAAATAGTTTTGGCGGCACCGCAAAGTAGGTACATTTCAATGAACATTTAGGCGGATTTTCAGACCACATGTGGAAATAAAATTTCGTTCGTAATTATACCCAGTGTACAGCTATAAGCTGGAACTCCTAGCGTAGTGTTAGAAATTGAGATATATTTTTGCATGTGTAATAGACCAACATTAATCTGATATTTGAACATATTAAAATGTATGTTAAATTGAAAGTTTTTATTTAACTTGATGTAAGGTAGGTAGGTGATATAAGTCCACAACGTAAAAGTAAAAAGTCGCCTTTGTGCACCTGGGTGAATTAAATTGACAAGTGAACAAAGGAGACTACTTGAGTCAACTCAATTCACCTAGGTGATATCACCCAGGTGAACAAAGTGGAATAAACCATTATGATGATGACGAAATAGACATGACGGTGTATACCTGTTGTTTCGCCAGTAGTTTCCTCTGTTTCTTAGACAGTGTCTGTTCAGGTTGTGTCGTGTTTACTTTAGTGGCTTCTTTAGCTTCCTTGTTGGTCGATTTCTCTTGTTGTTTCGTCTGCTCCTTATTTTCTTTGTGTTTTTTCTGTGAATATAGAGAAATAGTATTATTAACTTAAAATCGCGGGTTACTCACGTGATTATACTGAGAAAAGCTCTACTAGTTTCGAACCACAGAGGGGTTCTTCCTCATGAGCAGCGTGTGCGGTCGCGGCGACTCACTCTTCACGCGTTATTATAATTTAGTATAATTTTTAATGAGTGAGTACCTTCGGAGAGGTATGTAAGAATCGTAGCAATTGGCGTTTGATAGTCTCTGCCTACCCACATGGCCTCATGGGAAACAGGCGTGAACTTATGTATATATGTATGTATGTATGTATGTATGTATGTATGTATGTATGTATTACCTTCTCTTTATCCTTGCCCTTGGCTAATTGGTTGATGTGAGCTAGTGCTTGTTCCCAGGTTTGCTTGCGTCCGCTCTCCGCCGCCTTCGCCGCGGCCGTCGGTTCCTCGGGGGCTGCTAGCACTGGAAATTATAATAAAATATATTTTGACTGCCTCGTTGGCCGAGTGGTCGCAAATACGACTGCCAAGTAAGGGGTCTCGGATTGAGGGTTTTAAAAAAAAAAAACTCAGTAGTAGCACGGAGTCTGGAACTGTGCCTGGTATATGGCAATAGGCTCACCCCCTATTACATGGGACTCATAACATAAATAGTGAAAAGTGAGTGTTGTTATATTGTACCTCTGCCTACCCCTTCGAGGATAAAAGGCGTGATGTTATGTTTAAAAGCAAAAGGTGTTAATATATGTAATGGTAAACAAGTATTGGGCCTCGTACACAAAACTGCGATGCGAATACCCAACGTAGAAAATTATGATTCCAACAAGGCGTCTCCCAGGGTGACCATTCCTTCGACGACCGTCAACCGTACTAAACGTATTTTAAATTGAAAACTAGGTCGTGACATGGATCGTAAAAAGAAGTGTGTACTTCTGTTATTGCTTAGGACTTAGGAGATACAGGAAAAACAAACAAAGAAGATTTTAGGAAGATAAGATGTTGATGCGCGATGCGAATCAATTCGCAAGTTGTTGCGATGCGTAGAGGGAGCTCGCACATTTTTGCGATGCGACGTCGCATGGCAGTGTTGTGTACGAGCCCTGTAACAGTAAGTAACGACTGCACGGTTGGTGCGGTGGCTGGGCAACCGGCTGCCGTGCAACGTGTCGCGGGTTCGATTCCCGCACGGAACAACACTTTGCGTGATCCACAAATCGTTGTTTCCGTGTCTGGGTGTCATGTGTATGTGAACTTGTATGTTTGTAAACGCACCCACGACACAGGAGAAAATCCTAGTGTGGTCCAGTGCAGTAATAATACTATTATCTGACTGCCTTATTGGCCGAGTGGTCGCAAATGCGACTGCCGGGCAAGGGGTCTCGGGTTCGATTCCCGGGTCGGGCAAAGTATTACTAGGTTTTAAAAATCTCAGTAGTAGCACGGAGTCTGGAAAAATGTGGCCGGTATATGGCAATAGGCTCACCCCCTATTACATGGGACTCATAACATAAATAGTGAAAAGTGGGTATTACATTGTACAGTGGCATTAAGTGCCGAAATGTGCACCTCTGCCTACCCCTTCGGGGATAAAAAGGCGTGATGTTATGCATTCCAGTGCAGTATACAGACCGGGCGCGTGCAGCGCGGCTCCGTCGGCCGCGCGACGGACACACACCATGCCGCCGCCCGCCTCGCCTGCGGGGGAGACAATCTTAATTAGGTACTTTCCTTAACAACTACAAATACTAATATTATTTATTTCGTCAATGTAGGTATGTTACAATAGATGGTAGATAATATTATGGTAATGCGCCACATTGTGTTAACCCACAATAAATTATTTCGATTGTTCAATACAATCAAATAGTAAAAAATAATCACACTTTCATGCAAGGTATAGGCTGACTTAGATGATAGGATACTTTTGCTCCGATACTCCCATGGGATAAAAAGTAATACCTACAGGCAACGCCGCGGGTAAAACCTAATATTGTATAAAAAATAAACATAACTACTCCATTTCCTAAGCATTAAAAAAAAACTACGTTTAACATGACCGACATCAAGCCCCCTCCCCCCTTTTTAAAGTCGGTTAATTAATATACAAAAACCTTCTCCTAAGTGTAACAAACACTTTTCTGACTAAAACCACATCAAAATCGGGTTCAGCGAATACCGAGTCAATTGCATACAATACATACATACAAATGTATGTATACAAATGTATGTACATACAAATGTATGTATGTTTCAAAAAGACAAAATATAGGTTCTCAGTTACAAAACTTCTATTTTGTTTTCTTTAATCTGTTAAAAACACAATTTATAAGTAATCATTTTATTACAGATTATTTAAGATGGACATAAGCAAAATTATTATTACCTATTACTAAATGAAAATGTATACAACTTAAAATATAAATAACTATGAACTAAAATAATATAATAAATAAATAATAAATAAATTAAAATACTCACTAATAAACGTAGCAGTAGCGGCCTGCTTCTGCTTCTCTAACTTCTGCTTCTCCAACTCGATGAGTTGCAAGTGTTGCTGGTGCTGCAACTGTTGTTGCTGTTGCAGTTGCTGTTGTTTCGCTTGCAACGCCGCTTGTTCCAGCTGTGGAAGGAAATTACATTAATTTATTAAGTTTTATTTACGCTTCATACACACAGTGTACTTGAGCTGGACTTAATGAAATAATATTTCATATTTAAGGGGGGTAAATCATCGAATGTCTGCTCCCGCCTGGGTGAGGCGGGAGGGAGTGTCAGACCCTTACTGACTAAAAACCACCCCGTTCCTTCTCCTGCACGTCGAGCCGGAGCCCCGGTTACCCGTTAGGTTCTCCGCGACTCCGATATTAATAGTAATACTAGCAGAAATATTCATAACTAGCTTTTACCCGCGGCTTCGCTCGCGTCACAAAGGGATAAAAAGTAGCCTATGCGACATATACCAATACATACAGCGCCATCTATACCAATACTTTTGTTTTCCCTCGGGAATATCAATTTTTTCCGGGATAAAAGTACCCTATTATTTAATCCAGTCTTCTAACTTTACGTCTGCAAAAATTCAAAGCAATCGGTTTAGTAGTTACGGCGTGAAATCGGAACAAACAAACAAACAAATTCACCTTCCGATTTATAATATTAGTAAGGATATTAATTCGTCGAGTACCGTCATTATAGACACAATTAAACTGTCAAACACCAAGCGGTCACCGGTGACCGCGACCTATTGTTCTTTAATTGTGTCTATAAATACGGTACTCGACGAGTTAAAGAACAATAGGTTGCGGTCACCGGTGTCCTCGCGGTGTTTGACAGTTTAATAGTAATACTAGCAGAAATATTCATCATGATGTTACCTGACTATGTGAAGGTCTCTCAGGTTTCCCCTGCACGGCCCTGGACTCGGCAAGTTGTCGTTCGCAGTTCTGTAAACGTCGGGTGAAGTCCAGCACTTGCTTTTCAGCTGCTTGCATCTCCTGTAAAATTAACATAACATAACATTACGCCTTTTATCCTCGAAGGGGTAGGCAGAGGTGCACGGTATACCACTGTACAATGTAACACCCACTTTTCACTATTTATGTTACGAGTCCCATGTAATAGGGGGTGAGCCTATTGCCACCGGGCACAGTTCCAGACTCCGTGCTACTACTCACAATTTTTAGAAACCACAGTAATACTTTGCCCGACCCGGGAATCGAACCCGAGATCCCTAACTCGGCAGTCGCAATTGCGACCACTCGGCCAACGAGGCAGTGAATTTTCATTGACAACTACCCTATTATCATCAGGACCCCACTTATGCAACGTACCTTGGAAGTAGTATTCATGAGTGTAGTCAGCTCCCCAAGCTGTTCAGCTACAAGCTGCGCCTTAGCTTGCTGTGCCGGATTCAATTTCTGTTTTTTACCTGTAACATATGAAATTCAAATTCATTTACTCATTTACAAACATGGGAATACATCTTATACTAAGTGTTATATAAAGCGGAAGAGTTTGTTTTTTTGTTTGAACGCGCTAATCTCCGTAACTACAAGTCTGATTTGAATAATTCTTTTTGTGTTGGATAGTGCATTTATCGAGGATGGCTATAGGCTATAAAATATAACGCTGCGACCAATAGGAGCTGAGCAGAGTGTATGAAACCGCGCGGAAGTAGCTAGTATTATAATACTAGCTGAATAGGATAACTTAAATTTCTATTTGTTTTCTCACCTTTTACACCTTCTCTGGACTTAAACAAACCGAGCCATGCTTCGGTAGGAATGGCTCGGCTCGACCGGAGTGATACCACGGCCGACCAGAAAACCGACGTGAAATAACGCTTGCGTTGCGTTTCAACGTGTGAGTGAGGTTACCGGAGGCCCAATTAACCCCCTCTCCCCAGTCTCCCCAATCCCCGAATCCCCCACAATCCGCGAATTCCCAATTCCCAAAAGGTCGGTAACGCATTTGTAGCGCCCCTAGTGTTTCGTGTGTCCATGAACGACGCCGATTGCTTACTATCGTCTTTTCTTCCGTCCGTCCGGGCCATGATGCGGAGCGAGGGGGACTGGGATGCCGTCTCCTCCTTTTGCGAAGCAGTCATGCTAGCTAAGCAGAAGGAGGGACGCGTGAGGCAGCGTACAACTCTGCCGGCCAGCTTTACTGCTTTAGTTGTGATCGGATTTTCAAAACTAAATTCGGTCTGGCCAGTCACATCAGGGCATATGACGGGAGATAGACATTAAGGGTAAATCGGTGCGGAGGACTATTTATATTAGTACTAGCTTTTACCCGCGGCTTCGCTCGCGTCACAAAAGGATAAAAAGTAGCCTATGTGACATATACCAATACACACAGCGCCATCTATACCAAAATATTTTTTTTACCTCGGGAATATCAAATCTTTCCGGGATAAAAAGTACCCTATTATTTAATCCAGACTTCTAACTTTACGTCTGCAAAATTTAAAAGCAATCGGTTTAGTAGTTACGGCGTGAAAGCGGAACAAACAAACAAACAAACTAACTTTCCGATTTATAATATTAAGTAAGGAGTAAGGATTCCTGTTGGTACATATATGAGACCCGGGTGAGGAGTGTGGGTGGTGATGTGTAGTAGTTACCTTTCTTGTTGGCCTTGTAGTGGTGGTGCGCGGCCCGCGCGGCGTCGAGGCGTCGCTTGGCGGCGGCGTGCGCGACGTGAGCGCGTCCAGTAGGTAGGTGTCGGAGGTAGGTGTTACCTTTCTTGTTGGCCTTGTAGTGGTGGTGCGCGGCCCGCGCGGCGTCGAGGCGTCGCTTGGCGGCGGCGTGCGCGACGTGAGCGCGTCCAGTAGGTAGGTGTCGGAGGTAGGTGTTACCTTTCTTGTTGGCCTTGTAGTGGTGGTGCGCGGCCCGCGCGGCGTCGAGGCGTCGCTTGGCGGCGGCGTGCGCGACGTGAGCGCGTCCAGTAGGTAGGTGTCGGAGGTAGGTGTTACCTTTCTTGTTGGCCTTGTAGTGGTGGTGCGCGGCCCGCGCGGCGTCGAGGCGTCGCTTGGCGGCGGGCGTGCGCGACGTGAGCGCGTCCAGTAGGTAGGTGTCGGAGGTAGGTGTTACCTTTCTTGTTGGCCTTGTAGTGGTGGTGCGCGGCCCGCGCGGCGTCGAGGCGTCGCTTGGCGGCGGCGTGGGCCACGTGCAGCGCGTCCAGTTCGCGGCGCGCGCGCGCCAGCTCTGACGCCACTGCCGCACGCTCCTCCAAGAGACGGGATTCCAGCTGGAGCGACAGGTACAAATGACAATAACCAAATGACAATTGACAATTTGTATGCAGCGTGATGCCTTTTCATTTTTTCGCGGCAGTTGATCGGATGTGGAAATACTGATGCAGAATAACATTACAAACAAAAAAATGTACGGGGTCTTATATCAAAAACACAGTCCAAACCGAGTTAAATCAGCTATACCTATATGTATATATATATATATCCATAACCCTCAAGCAGTCATTAAAGCGTTTAAAGACATTAAAGTTAAATCGACTGAAGATCTCTGGGGAATGTCGGTTAGGATGTGTCGGTCTTTTATAGAAACTATAGCACCTCATTTGGCTTTCATCTTTAATAAAGGTATAGATCAAGGAATTTTCCCGGATTTAATGAAACATAGTAAAGTGATTCCATTGTTTAAATCCGGTGACAGTGCCGAACCCAACAACTATAGGCCGGTCTCTATTTTACCAGTGCTCAGCAAAGTTTTTGAAAGATTAATGCTCACCCAGATGCTACGTCACTTTAACATTAATGGTATTTTCCGACAATACGGGTTCACCAAAGGTCGCTGCACTACTGACGCGGGAGTAGCGCTAATTAAGCGGATTTTCGCTTCGTGGGAAGAGACACATGATGCCATTGGCATATTTTGTGATCTATCGAAGGCATTTGACTGTGTTGAGCATGAGACATTATTGCTGAAACTGGAACATTATGGCATTCGAGGAGTATCGCTAAATCTATTAAAATCATACCTTCAGGATAGGCAACTTAAAGTACAAATAAACAAAATAAACTCACAGGGTGCTAGCATATTTATGGGTGTACCGCAGGGCTCGATACTGGGTCCATTCTTATTTTTAACATACATAAATGACTTACCCCGTTTATTTAAAAATGAGCCACATATGGTTTTATTGGCTGATGACACTTCATTGGTTTTTAAAATGAATAGACGGACAAATAATTATGACGATGTAAATAACGCCTTAATGAAGGTTCAAAATTGGTTTACATTAAATAATTTAGTATTAAACGATAAAAAGACAAAATGTATTACATTTGTTTTGCCAAATGTTAAAAGCAGCGAATGTGACATATTATTGAATGATGAGAAATTAGAATTTGTAAAAGAGACTACTTTTCTGGGAATTACTGTAGACGACAAACTGCAATGGGGTCCTCATATTACATCTTTAGCGGGACGATTGAGCTCTGCAGCTTATGCTGTCTGGAAGATCCGACAGTTGACCGACACAGGCACGGCAAGACTAGTGTACTTCAGTTACTTTCATAGCATTATGTCGTATGGCATTCTGCTGTGGGGACACGCTGCTGACATTGAGTCTATCTTTATCTTATAAAAGCGCGCCGTCAGAGCTATCTACAACCCAGGTCGTCGCGAATCTCTCAGAGAGAGGTTTAAAGAGATCAACATTATGACCGTTCCATGTCAATTTATCTATGAAAACATCATGTATGTTAGGAAAAATCTACAGTTATTTTGGTAAAGTGTCGGACAGACACCACTATCAAACTAGACATAAGGATAGATTAAGTCAGCCAATTTTGAGATTGGCGAAAGTAAGTAAATCGTTCATAGGATTCTGTGTTAAATGTTATAACAAGATACCAAGCGATATACAACACCTAAATGAAACGAAGTTTAAATTATGTATAAAAAAAACTTTATGTAGACAAGCATATTACAAAATTAATGATTATATAGAGGATAAAAATGCTTGGATGCACGCTGGTCCAGCTCCACGGGATAACGAAAAACATTGATGTGTCAATGAAATTCAACCTAAATATTAAAACGTAGTTGCTAAAATGTATATTGTTTAACTTGCAAAATCATTGATAATGTGAGAGCCCTGTAATTAACTAAATATTAAATTGGACTAGTAGAATGCATTTATGTCAAATGCTTGGAATTGTCATGTTCACTCAAAGATCTCATTGGCGGTGTCACGTGCATTGGGTCGCTAGATTCCCTGCAATATGGTTAACGGGCGCCGTCAACTGGGACTGGTCAGCTCCAGACTGTATTATTGTCCTTAAGGGTTATTTTCTTTTTTGATCACTTTGACTGGATTTTAGTTTGTTCTCGCACAATCCAAACAGCAAAACTATGTAACTAGTAAATTGTATTGTGAACCTGATTGAAAAAGAGTAACCTATGATGTTTCTTGCTCGTTCTTCTACATAGGAATCTACACCTTGGAATGAGCAAATAGCTTCACTTTTATATTTTTTGTTGTTGACGTTCAAAAGTGTCTTTCTGTTCTAATTGAAATAAATTATTTTGACTTTGACAAGCTAATTATTCAGTGTATTAGTAACACATAACATACAATTACGCCTTTTATGCCCGAAAAGGTAGGCAGTGGTGCATATTACGGCACTTAATGCCACTGTATAATTCATATAACACCCACTTTTCACTATTTATGTTATGAGTCCCATGTAATAGGGGGTGAGACTATTAGCATATACCCGACACGATTCCAGACTCTGTGCTACTACTGAGAATTTTAAAAACTTATACATTCAAGACTAATTACATTTTTAATTTTCATACACTGTCTACTAACCCTATTGTACCTTTCGTGAGACATACTAAATTACTGATTATGTTTTCGGCTTACTCACGTAATAATTTGACGAGGAACTCGACTAGTTTCAAGCCATGCTAGAGGCTCATATTCGTGGGCATTCCACGACAGCCGCCAGTTATGTGAGTAAGCTCGCTCGATTCCCTACAATGTTGTTGGGCGGTACTGGTGTACGTGTCATGTTCGTGAACGGGCGCCGTCAACTGGGACTGGTCAGCTCCAGACTGTATTATTGTCCTTACGGTTATTTTCTTTTTTGATCACTTTGACTGGATTTTAGTGTTACATTGTTCTCGCACAATCCAAACAGCAAAACTATGTAACTAGTAAATTGTATTGTGAACCTGATTGAAAAAGAGTAACCTATGGAGTTTCTTGCTCGTTCTTCTACATAGGAATCTACACCTTGGAATGAGCAAATAGCTTCACTTTTAATTTTTGTTTTTGTTGACGTTCAAAAGTGTCTGTCTTGTCTAATTGAAATAAATTATTTTGACTTTGACAAGCTAATTATTCACTGTATTAGTAACACATAACATACAATTACGCCTTTTATGCCCGAAAAGTTAGGCAGTGGTGCATATTACGGCACTTAATGCCACTGTATAATTCATGTAACACCCACTTTTCGCTATTTATGTTATGAGTCCCATGCAACAGGGGGCGAGATTATTAGCATATACCGGACACGATTCCAGACTCTGTGCTACTACAAAGAATTTAAAAAACTTCAATAATACTTTAGCTGACCCAGGAATCGAACCCGAGTACTCTTGCCTGGCACTCACATTTGCAAACACTCGGCCAATGAGCCAGTCACGGACGGCAGCAGTGACGGACTAATTACATTTTTAATTTTTATACACTGTCTACTAACCCTATTGTACCTTTCATGAGACATACTAAATTACTGATTATGTTTTCGGCTTACTCACGTAATAATTTGACGAGGAACTCGACTAGTTTCAAGCCATGCTAGAGGCTCATATTCATGAGCAGCGTTCCGCGACCGTTTTCAGTTACGTGAGTAAGCCGAAAAAAGAATAATTAAGACTTTGACTGCCAATAAACAACTGTTGAAGGTAAATCCTCCGCTAACGCCGGTCACCGGTGACCCCCATGGCGTTTAACGTGTTAATTGTACCTTTCAACCAAATTAAATGAAGATTTAACTACGTTACTCGTATTACCTTCTTAGCCTTCTGCCTCTGTTTCTTAGCCCTCTTCTTGCCACGATCGACATGTCGAGCAGGTCCTTCTATATACTGTAGCAGAGCGTCCAGGTCTCGCGTGTCTTCCGGACGGGAACCACGCCAGCATGACCCACTGCAAGACAGACGTAGGTTATAAGATTGAAAAGGTTTTTTTTTTTTTTTTTATTCTACATTTAATTAATACGGGGTTTTTATCCATGAGGATACGCCAACCCCATCGTACCTAATACTACCTACAACCAATATATAAACAAAACCTTAAAATTAACTATGAAAGTTCCTAATTAACTTAGTCTTAATCAACGAAATACATCAGAAAATTATAAAAGGTTAAGGGCACGTAATAGTAATCAGAGACCTTCGTACGATTTTGATTTACGTTTAAAGTATTCGAAACGAGTAGGTACGCGTTTGGCAATCTGATTGGCCGGCACCAATGAAGCAACCAATCAGAGTGTCAAGCACGAATTATTATCGCTTTCGATACGTTATAGTATCGAGCGCATTCGCCGCTCTGATTGTTTGGTTCATAATATATATGTAAATGAAGTTTATCACCCTTCATTCAATTTGAATTTGCCGCGCTTAACTTGATTCGAATTTGGCGCGTCATCGGTGTGTGATGTTTGAAGTTTATTAGCTATGCCTCGTTGGATGACATTACTAGGTTATGTGTAAAATAAAATACCGGTGAATATAAAGTAATAAGTGAAAACATAGCTTAAATGTTGTTTCTCTTTTCAGGTGAGGATTTTTATTGATTGTAAATACCTTACCATTGTATTTGATTGTTAAAACATATTGTTTATAAAAATAAACTCTCTTTTCAGAGCAACGCATTTCGCAATTATTTTATCGACAGTTAGAAGTCATTAAATTAATATATATCTATATATAATACACTCACCCAGAACACCCGCTGGAAGTAGAGAAGACACTAGTGTCCCTGCTAGAGAGAGACACAGTGCTCCTCTGCTGCCCCGCCCTGCTCTGCCTGGCTTGTTGTTGCTGTTGTTGTTGTTGCTGCAACCGTTGCTGTTGTTGCTGTTGCAACTGCGCTTGTTGTTGCTGCTGTTGTTGCTGCTGCTGCTGTTGCTGCTGTTGTTGTTGTTGGAGTTTTTGCTGTAGAAGTTGTGAAGAAATGAGAAGGAAATTTGTTGAAGAAGTCATATTTTATAATAAATAAATAAATATCATTATTTCAGACTACATAGTCCATAGACATGGCAATTTTGTTAGTGCAGACAATCTACTTATAACTAATGTTAGTCACAAATAATTAAATTCAATTATATTTTAGTTAAAGGCGCGACGTTCGTCGAGCTGTAGCCAAATTTCATTTAGCGCTTGTCTACATGTAGAATAGAAAACCAAATTATATGGAATTGACGTAAACTTTGACACTTGTCAGTGTCATCCCCATACATTTAGTTTTCTACTCTCTCTGTAGACAAGCGCTAAAGTGGCGTTTGGCTAAAGGCACAGCTCGGCCAAAGACACTTGCAAGTTATCGGTAACGCACTTGTAACGGTGTTCCGTGTGTCCATGGGCGACGCCGATTGCTTACCATCAGGTGATCCGTCTGCTCATTTACCGGCTTATACCATAAAAAAAATCTAACACAATAGGTATTACTAGTGCGTTTCAGGTACTATGAATCCAATAAGGATTAGTTTATAGTTTCCAAGTTTGTTGGTAATACCGTACAATAAACTGTTTAGAAGTCCGATGTCGGAATACTGAAACACTACTCAATTTTAAGTCTTGCTTAAGTATAGTTCTATCTCTACAAATTCTTTGTAAAATGACAGAGACGGCACGATATTTGAGCACGACTTAAAATTGAGTAACGTTTCAGTATTCCGGCATGAGCCCCTATCGGAATAGATGAATCGAATTAAACCTAAAAGAATTACGTCATGATATGACTTCGAAATTAATACAAGTCAGTGCTGACCAAATAAACACCAATATATCTAAATTGATTTAAAGTCCGTACAGTTATGTGTGGGAGAGCCATGCTGGGCCGGCTCGACTGAAATGATACCACCAACGAGTAGAAAACCATACTGATACACAGCGTTGTGTGCACTCGTGGGAGTGAGGACAGTGGAGGCTCAATTACCCCTCTCCCCAATCCCAACAATCCTCAAACTCCTAATCCCCAAAAGGCCGGTAACGCACTTGTAACACCTCTGGTGCTCAGTGTGTCCTTGGGAGACGCCGATTGCTTACAATCAGGTGATCCGTCTGCTCGTTTACCGGCTTATCCTAGTTGGGGGAGGTCTAATGCTGCTAACAGTACACTATTTGGGAACCGCCTGCCGCTCAACGTGTAACGGGTTCGACAGAGCAACTCGTTGTTTCTCCACAAATTATTGTTTCGTGTCTGTGTGTCATGTGTATGTGAACTTGTATGTTTGTAAACGCACTCACGACACAGGACACATTCCTAGCTTCTTAATCCCCGATTATGAAAAATCCTTAAATATTTTTCATACAAAACTAGTCTCCAAACATCGGAAATAAGGTCTATAATGGAGTAAATGGAGAAGTCATCGGTAACTTGAGGACAGGGATTTAAAACAATCGTGTACTTGCCAACTAGTAAAATTCAATACTTTTTTCGAACTGTCAAAAACGACAGTATTCTTTAAATTTTGTACGAGATTGTGTATTGTGACGTCACGTTTTTTTAACGTCAAACAGTATAAATACTAAAATTAAGTTGGTCATAAAACCAATAAACGTGATTATTTTTAATATTTTATTGTATTCAACAGTCGTTCGCTTGATAAAATTGACGTGTAAAGTGCTGCCTTGTAGCCTATTTGCAGAAATAAATTCAAAGTCGAAATAATTTATTGTTGATGAAGGCAAGTACCCAATTAAAGTTAAATTTATTACGTCTCACGATAGTTATTGTAAAGACAAACCTGTTGTTGTTGTTGCCGAATCTGTTGTTGTTGTTGCGGCGTGAGCGTTGGTTTATTGTGTATGGGCAGGTCGTATATCGGCTCCGGCTTCTTCTGTTGCTGTTGCTGCAACTGCTGTTGTTGCAGCTGTTGTTGCTGCAACTGTTGCTGCTGGAACTGCGCTTGGGCTTGTTGCTGTTGTTGTTGTTTTAGTTGCTGTAGCGATAATGATTATTGTTATTTCATCTTACTTATCTTATTTCTTAATGTCATTATTATTTTATTTTATTTTTAGCCATGGTCGTCCCACTATTTTGTTAGGTAATGAAAAAATAATTAGACACGTATTTTTTATTTTGTCGTATAAAACGAATCAAAGTTTAGGAGTGGGAGCTAAAACGTCATTTCTACGTATAAAATGTACATAGAAGTGACGTCACGCGACATTTCAAATCAATATATCGTCGAAAGTATTCGTTTGTGTAAGAAAATAAAAAATACGTGTCTAATGATTTAAAATAATCTACCAGACGGACATTGAAATAAAAATAAGGCATCTACCAACAATGTCAACACCAATATTTAGTCAAGGAGACGGAAAAAGAAAATAACCTTGAAGACAACAAATTTAATACAAAGTCAAAGTCAAAATCATTTATTTCAATTAGACCTGCTGGCTTACTCTTGAATCCAATGCCGATCGATCGACATTGATATTGTGTCGTACTCTTGAGTTGCAACACTAGCGCCCATTGCATCCGTATTGCGTGGATATTGAATGAACTAAATGGTATTGAGTTTGTCTTTATATTCCGTACTCTGAATGCTATTGTAACAGCTACGATTGTGGTTGTATAGTGTTGACATTGAATAATTATTGAGATTTGAGATTGGTTTCAAGAGTAAGCACCCTGGAAGGCACTTTTGAACGTCAACAACAAAAATTTAGAAGTGAAGCTATTTGCTCATTCCAAGATGTGATTCCTATGGAGAAGAACGAGCAAGAAACTCCATAGGTTTACTTTATACGACATACCTGTAATCGTATCTGCTCCATGGCGTTGGGATTGACTTTGCCTTCAGCTTTCAGGCCGGGAGGCACGTCGATTTGAACGGGAACTGAGCGCTGTAATATCTGAAATTATAACGAATACATTTCAGTCTAAAGTCTAGATTGATATAGGTTTTTAGCAGAAACACTGTGGAACTACGTAATATAACATCACGCCTTTTACCCCCGAAGAGGTAGCAAGAGGTGCATATACTGTATGATGCCACTGAGACCAAGCCACAACCGAAGCCTACTACTAAACCACCGCCCGTCGCGCCCAAACCACCGGTAACTATTTTTTAATAGAACATAACATAACATCACGCCTTTTATCCCCGAAGGGGTAGGCAGAGGTGTACATTCTGCCACAATGTAACACCTACTTTTCACTATTTATGTTATGAGTCGCATATAATAGGGGGTGAGCCTATTGCCATATACCGGGCACAATTCCAAACTCAGTGCTACTATTAAGATTTTTTATAAAAACCCAGTAATACTTTGCCCGATCTACGAATCGAACCCGAGACCCCTTGCCCGGCAGTCGCCCTTAATTTCTTTGTGTAATCCACAAACGTTTCGGATCTGTGTGATGTACATGTGAAATGAAATTAAATACGTTTATTCGGCATAGGCCATGCACGCCTGTGTCACGAATGTGATCACATCTCTGCCTACCGCTTCGGAGATAAAAGGCGTGATGTAATGTTACAAAGTGTTGTTCCGTGCGGGAGTCGAACCCGCGACACGTTGCGCGGCAGCCGGTTGCCCAGCCACCGCGCCAACCGTGCAGTCTATCTGTGCATTTGCTTACTGGAGATACAAAGACAGGCTTCTTTTTTTTATATATTTGATGGGCCGACGTTTGCCCTCTATCTCGCTTGGTAGTAAGCGATGACGCAGTCTACAATGGAGCACGTCGTCCCATAAGCAAACTATTCACTCGGGCCTTGAAGACACCCAGCTTATATACTTCAGGAAATACGGACTCTGGCAAACAATTCCACTCCATAGCAGTACGCACAAGGAAGCTCGAAGCGAAGCTTCTGTATATTACCTTGGC